GGCCGCGGACCGCGTGGCAGGGCGGAAAAATGGCCGCGGACCACGTGGCAGGGCGGAAAAACGGCCGCGGACCGCGTGGCAGGGCGGAAAAATGGCCGCGGACCACGTGGCACGGCAGAAAATGGCCGCGGATCCGGTTCGTACCCGAAGGCGGAGTTCGCAAACCGAGGTAAATTTTTGCGGCCGGAGCTGGTCGCAACCCGAAAAGTTCGTAAGCAGAGGCGTTCGTAACCCGAGGTACCACTGTACTAGAATGATGCAAGAGGTGCAGCCTAATTTAGCACACTTTCAGATATTACCTTCTGAAACATTAAAATAATGCTATATTTTGCCCAAAAAGAAAGCCAGTTCGATATAATGGATGGTTAAGGCACCAGGCTAGAAATTTGGGAGATGATGAATTCTAGTCCCTAGAAGACAAAGCCAGCTGGGTGACCTTGGGCCAGTCCCTCTTTATCAGTCCTAGGAAGAAGTGGGCAATGGCAAACCACTTCTGAAAATGCTGCCAAGAAAACTGCAGGGTAGTGACCAGGAGTCAACACTGACTCAAAGGCGCACACAAACGCAAAATATTGTCCAGGATCCATGTGTATTATTTCAACATTTCTACTTGCTCACAGATTTTTTTCCCAATGGCCAATTATCTAAGTGCATTATAGTTTAAAACATTTGGCTTCTCACCTTTGTAATGGAGATAAAGGGTGTCATTCAAGCTTGGAGTCACATATAACTTGTGTTGTTTGCAGAGGTCCCTCAGCAGCTTTTTGGTCATTCTAAAATATTAACAAGAAGTGTGAATCCTAGGATTATTCAGAAGAGAGTATGACTTTATTACAGTCAGCAGTGGAAAGGAGTATTTAAAATTCACTACTTGACAATGGCCCAGCTTCAAACCCTAGTTTTAAATTTTGCTTGAAATTTGCATCAGAAACTACTTTAACTATGCCCAGGGCCAGCATAGACATAACACTTTACCATGATTCATTCTAACAAGGGAAATAATTGAGGGAGGAAATTTGTGATCCTGCTTTGGCCTCTCAATCATTCCTAATTGGTTATAGTAATCTTGCTTTTTCTGTTAAAAAAAAAAAAAAACCTATAAAAAATAACTTACCTCATGCCACATTGTTTTAATTCTGAATGTTCAGAGGATGAATCAGTTACTGACACACAATTACCATTTGTTTTCTGCATATTCTGTTGGCCTGTATCATTCCCAGAGTTGTCTCTTTTCAGTGGTGCTTGAACATTAAACATGACAATGTTTTTACAATGGAAATTAAAATTCAATCTAGAATCTAACGCATAAGCAAATGATTGTAAAACATATAGTATATAGGACAATGTAATTGGTATATCATCCTGAATTTCTTGGTGGAAAAGTAAAATGAACATATGATCATTTTTTAAAAGAATGTACATTGTGCTAGGCTGTCTCCTATTCTTGCTATATAAATGCAGTTTCTGTTTTTTGTAGGAGCCTGACATGTAGAAATTGAGTAGGAAAGAATCTGCATGCTTCCCACCTGTACATTCATGCCAATCAATCTGAGTTTTTGCATTATCATGGACTGTGATTGTGTACACACATCAAACTATGCCATGATGTGCCTCATTTCACAGTGTGTTGTGTGAACTAAGACAATTAATGGTTTATTCAACAAAACATGGTTAACAAATTATGGTCTAATATGTGTGATCCCAGCCTATATTTGTCAGGTCGTGGGAGCAAAAACGGACAGGCTACTATATCATGCTAGCCATTAGAAGCTAGCCATTATTAAAAACAAAATACTAGACTGAATGGAAACATCAGCTGACCCAGAAAAACAATTCTTATCCTCTTGTTAAATTTCAGTATAACAGACTGCTGTTGAAGACCAGGAGCACATTCAGCAAGAAGAGTATGGCTCTTTGTACTAGAACAGAAATGTTAAACACAGAAATGATTTCATCCTCTAATTTTCCTTATTTGCTATGTATTCATTTTCTCATTTAGCTTTGAACATCTTGGTAAGAATCTGGTGTTTTCTTGTTGCTAACTATAACACTTCCATGGCCACTCTTACAGAATACAGTGACAGAATCCATATCTTGATAGCACAGGTGCTGATGGCATCTTAAGACGGCAAGATTTAATTCAAAATGCAGAAACTTAACTACAGTGTTGCAATTTGTCCAGGTAATTACCTGGTTCTCCATTGCTATAGTCAGTATCATCAGCTTTTAGCTTTTGATGCTCATAGCTAATATCCCTTTCTATCCCTTGCTCTCCTTCAGGCAGCTGAGGCTGTTGTTCTAAAATTTAGAGAGACAGAGTCAGTACAGTACAGGTGCTGAATTATGCTAGCATCACAATAAGATAGGTGACCACCCCAGAAGAATGTTTTTGATGCGGCACCGTATCAGGTAGGTCAATTTCTGTAGGAATCAAAACTCATGCAGTAATGCAGGTCTGCATTAGCTGCCTATGAGGCTACTCTTGCTGGTGAGAGCATGGCTTGCAAAGAACTTTTAAAAAGTGAACCTGCAAACAAGAATGAAAAAGGACCCTGAAATGGCTGGAAAAGGGAACAAACTATACCCCACTTAGTTATATTTTGTTCACTTCTATTTATTTATACATGTTTCTATGACCGAGAAAGAAAGTAAGGGGAGTGGTTCATGGTAATGAATTTGTAAGATGAAATAAATGAAAATATGCACAATTCACATTGCAATACAGGGTGGGGATGGAGCGGTGCCATCTCTCACAGAAGCTATTCTGCATGTGCTTATGACACTTGCACTAATAGGTTTCACAACCATAATATACTGTATGTTCTGCCTGCACAAGGGAGGAAATCACCAATGGAATAGAATCAAGAATACAATTCTGCTGTTTGAATGTTAGAAAAATGCAGTTCCCTTAGAAACGCTATGAGGAATTATTTGGATCTTCAGTCAGGCCTATGCATTTATTAAACAAACAAAAATTACATGGAGAAGGCCTAAATATAAATATAATTCTTAGCTTCAGCTTGAAAAAGGAATAGCAAGGGAAGCTGATTTATGGTTAACTGTCAGCATCCAGTAAAAAATGTACTGTATGCATTTGTGATGATTCCCAAAACAATTTTGTAGGATAATTCTCTGTTGATAGAGGTGAATTAAAATAGGGAACTGAAAAGAACAAATGAGGGGGAAACAGGCAGTATCTGAATGGACTGATGCCTTTTGTTAATTTATAATATGGTCAACTGGTTAGATCTTAGAAATTTTATACAAATCTAACCATGGAAATTGAGCATGTGAATGTGTTCAGTAGACTGTAGTTCAAAATCCAGGATTCACAAGATACATGAACCCATACTATGTGTGATAGCATAAAATAAAGTGAGTATTTTGGATGAGCTGCAATACAGCCTTGAACCTTGGCAGCAGTCTTAAAAAAAGCTCTCAAAATGAATCAAGGTAACAACAAAAACAAAGGAAGAATTATAGCTGCAGACATTCATTCTTCTTCCCGGAATGCTTTCTACCTCAGTTCATACTAAAGGTCATAGCAGAATATTTTTACATCACCCATAGAACTGAGGTTGCTGTGTAGGTTAAAAATGCAACAAAGATTAAGGGGTTTTTGGGTGTGTGTGCTAAATGTGCTTCTAACAAATACATGTGGCTGCGAACAGGAAGATCAGAGCTTTCTTCCACGACTTCAAAACTGTAGGACAAAGCACATTTCTTCTAAAGCCTCCTTCTTTAAAATATAGCGTTTGTGCTTGTAAGTGTGTGGGGAGACAGAAAGAGAGAGGATGAATTGGTTCTAATGTCATAAATTTGGTTTACTTGATTTTAGCCTAATATGTGGTATAATTCCAGCCAATAGTGGTTTATTTAGCAAACCATGAGTTGCTGAAACAAACTACAGCTTACCATTGATATGCTACACAGCTTCATGGATTTCTTACAAAAACAAATAGTTTTGTTTTGAGGTTTTGGGGAATGGTCCTTAAATAACACACACCTCACTGCTTTAACATGTTTTGAATTCAGTGACCCTGGAGAAGCGTGCTTTGTAGCAGCAACTGGCACATTCCAATACTTGCTCAATGACTTAGTTCACATATCCTTCTAATTTGCTTAGCTGTGGCTTATCAACATTGACTGGTGTCACGCAGTAAGCCACAGACAAGCAAACTAAATTATAGCCTATCATGTGTCACCAAAGTTATTTTAGTACCTCTAATAGCACCTCAGGTGCTTTAGGAGCCAATTGTAGTAAAATAGGAAAAATTACAGAGCAAGACTTTGGACTGCAATCACTGCATTTTAGTTAATATACTTTGCCGATACGACTTCATGCTCAAAACTGGCATCTACATCTACCCTTTTTGGCACCGGCTACCTGCTTTAATTAAGCTGTCCCCACTGCTGGAAGTGCTACCTTCCTGCTCACAGCTTTTTATTTCTTGGTCATTTCCTTCTCTTGCAACAGCTTCTCCTAATCCAGATTCTTCACTGGTTGGGTGCATTTTCAGTTCTGTCACCTAGAATAGAAGACCAGACATCTATAATAGGTTTTATATCATTCTATCACATATTCAACTCCTCAGAGCATAGTTTTAAATTACTGTTCATTTCACCATATTTTCCTCTATGGATAGTGTAAGCCACCTTGAAAACTATTTTGCTTAACATCAGTAAATACTGTGAATAAAGATGTCTGTATTTAGGGTTCTGCTGGAATAAAGACTAGCACAAAACCTCTAATCCAGGATGATAACCTGAACCTCCAGGATTGCAAGCAGCCTTCAGAACATATCTGTGTGGTGTTACGGGGAAGATGTGTTGGAGTAATAGTGGAGAGACCAAGTTCTAGTCCACCTTAAGCCATGGAAACTACCTGACTTTGGGCCAATCACACTCCCTCAGACTATCTACCTCACAGGGTTGCTGTGAGGAAAAAAAAAAAAAATAGAAGGGAGTGCTATGCACACTCCCTTGTGCTCATGAATGAAAGGCAGTGTAATGGTATGTGGGAATGACCTTGGGAGACTGGGTCAGAAACGCTGCCTGGCAAAAGGTCAGATAAGAGACAGCATAGCCTGCAGCTGGATAGTGGGCAGGGCAAGAGGCTCAGAAGAGACCCTCCCTAATTTCTCAGGAGTAAAGGAGATGGCAGGACAATTGTACTTTCAGACGTGCAAGATTCTGTTAATGTAGCCTTACAATAAAAAAGAATTAGCCCATCTGGTCTTGTTTCCTGTCTGGTCTACCTGGTAGGGCTGACAGGCAGGATATAAATATATATTATTAATCACTTTATATTGTCTATGCACGTAGTTTTCTTGATAAAAGATGGGAGTTGCTCTCTATTGCTTTCTCCCATGCCACATGAAATGATGCTTTTGCCATTATCACTAAAGTGTTCATCCACTTCCAGTACTTCCTATATCACTGCTGCCCAATATAGGTGCCTGCCTGCAGCTGGGATGACCTTCACCTCTTGGGCAACCCTGCTGGGAGTATCCCTAACCCTCTTGGTGTACATTACCACTGTCCTTCACTCACCCCTCCCAGGAACATCCCTCTGCCACAATAAGGCAGCATAGCAGGAATTGAAATGGAAGGTAATAATAAAGCATATCTTACCATTACACTTACTCAGCTCAGCCTACCTTGCAGGGTTGTTTTGGTGGGGATAAATGAGACGAGCCCCCTCCTCCCCCCAGGAGCCATCTTCAGCTTTCAGGGAAAAGGCTGAGTATAAATACAGTAAGTAAACAAAGATTTATATACTACTTATTCTATCATGTGCTTCAGGCCAGTTTTCTCCGCTCCTTTCTCTCTCCCCCTCTCAGTATCTGGCACCCTGAATTGGGATATCAGTGCAATAATGAATAATGTAATAGTATTCTGCAGCAGTGTAAATATAAAATAAATATAAGTATAAATACATATTAATGTTAGACTGATTATTTTAAATATTATAAATATATATTAAATGATAATAGGGATAATGCAAAAATTAATTAGTAATAATATGCTGCATCAGTATAAATATAAATATGAAATAAATATAACTATTCTTATATATTTAAATAATTCATTTTATATTTACATTCATTATTAATCATATAATTAATAATGGTAACGATAAGTGATGATGATGATAATGGGAATATCAATAAATAATAATAATGCTATGTTGCAGCAGTATAAATGTAAAATAAAAGTTGTATATACTACTATTATTAATAATATATTATTCTACATGGTTAAATTAATTAAATTAATTATTTTATGAATAGTAATGATAATCATGCACCCCCCCGCCTCCTCACTCTCTCCTCCGGCGTGGCCGCCCCCTCAGCGGGCCATTCTTCCTCCCGCGGCGGCAACCGGAGATCAGCCCTTCGCCTCCGACGGCCGCTTCCCTGCCCGACTCCAACGGCTCCCCTCTAACGGCTTCCCCGTTATCACGGCGACGACGCCCCCCGGACAGGGGCCCCCCGACGCGCCCCCCCCCCCCTGTCCTCCGCAGCCACGCCGCACTCCTCGCGTCAG